AGAGAGAGAGAGAGAGAGAGAGAGAGTGAGAGAGAGAGAGAGAGATGTGTTCATCATCGCAGCGGAAGCGGAAGCCATCGCGTCGTGGTTGCTGAGTTACGAAATTTATTTCAGCGCCTGCTGATCACCTAGGACGTATAACGGTGATGATGAGTCATCATCAGGTGCTATAACATGTCCGTATCTGCGCGTAGCGTCGGCGTGCGGAATATATAAGCACTCGTTTATACATGGTGGCAGAGTCGCGAAAGCATGCAGTGACAGGTACGGGTCGATCAGAGACTAGAATCTAGCCAACCTAACCCATCCCGGAAATCGCAATGCGGGACTGAATCCATACGTGTGACTAACAATATATGCCTGCGGCGAGCAATTACATGGCATGAAACAACGTTATAGTTCGTGTAAAGGTGTGATAGCGGTGTGCTTAGACACAGTTATTTACCTTGAGAATGTCATATAATCACAATACAGTCTCACCGTGCAGCCGTGCCATCACACATTGCCAGAAATATACAAAACTAAATGCGTTGCGATATACTTTAGATATATATAGTATGGGTGCCCTTTTACATCTATCCCAGAAGACACGGATCTCCTGTTACATTCCACGCTCCACGCATCACCTAATGTGTATTAATAAAAACCGCGATAAAATGTACGCGACTTTGACGACATTTTCATTGTATCGCGGTTTTAACGAAATTTTCGTTTTTATTAATACACATTAGATTTTCGTTTTCCGTGCACATTTTTTTCGGAAATCCAGCAAATTTAGCCAGAAACCATGCGTGAATAAACTATAGGAAAACCTGATAAGACTTAATAACGAAATAACTCGTGTTATATATGCACCGTTTTAATGATGGCCGAGTATGTGTTTTATCTGCCTATCTGCATGCAACGCATGAGCGGCTGTATGATCCGACTATATACGGACCGTTTATTCTGGGGAAGCGCAGCGTAATTTCAGTTAACTATGTAAACGCAGTCATAGACGTATGTTTGCTAAATATTACTAAATTAAATTAAACTTTATTTTACTATGCTTGGCAATGAAATTGCGGTAAGTTTAGAATTCTCACATTCAAGTGCATGCTTATATGCGACGGGGGTCATTACCTACGAAATTACAGCCGACTGCCTCCTGAAGCCAGGGGGCGTTACAATAATATGAAAAATGAAATGGGTTCGAAAATTTTCTGAGCACTAGCGCATGAGAAATTAAAGACCTGTAATGACAAGGACATTAAAATGTCATTCCGCCTATCAGGAAATGGCCCACGGTAGCCTTGAAAGCCTATTAGAGATATATGGAGCCTAATGATATCTTCACCGAGAACGTCGAGCGTATCTTTCCCAAGCAGCATGCAGATCACAGCGCAAGCTGTCGTCACTCTGGAGCAGATATGTAACGGTTAATACCGAAAAGATATATATAAGAAAAGACGCTAGTCTTCACCACATACCGCGCGGTATATATGTATTGTCACGACTCGCGTTCACGTACCCTCTACGCCAGTAGTTCTGAACATTTTTTGAGTGATGGACCCCTTTTAAGAATCTGGTGAAAGCTACGGATCCCTCCCCAGAAAAATGCACATAAGCAAAATAAACACAATAATTATCATGCGCCTGTTTCACGGACCCCCTGAAGCCCATCCACGGACCCCAAAGGGGTCCATGGACTACAGGTTAAGAACCCCTGCTCTACGCACTCATACGGCGGCAATACTACACTCGGTATTACAACCCTTTAGAAACACAGGCACTTGGAGCGTTTCAATAAAATATAATGCTGTAATAGTGTATTTATATATTTATTTGTCAGTGTGCAGCGGCAGCCATGGCGGCAGCCAGCGTTTGCAGATGAGCATTTGGACGGCATTTACAGGAAATTGTCGGCAATAATAGGTGAAAGAGAATATAGAAACATTAAGACTTTGGTAGTAAATCGATTTCGTATCTATTTAGCATTATATTTTATTGAAACGCTCCAAGTGCCTGTGTTTAGAAAGGCCTACACTGAGCACCTTTCTGCCGTGCGCGGTGCATCACGAGTAATTACGTACATATTGCATCGGAAGGCGTAGAGGCAATGCGAGGGCGTTTAATCGAACGGTGACGCGATTGCAATATCTTGGGAGATCGCCAACATTGTGCCAGGCAGATAATTAGACTACTAGGACGAAGATGTAGCCCAAATGCTATCGGATGAAAGCTGCGATTCCTATGGGAGCCGAAGCGCCGAGCATATAGTCGGGGAAGTAGCCGAAAATCGTCACAGGATTCGGCTCTTGTTAATCGGTAGGAAATTGCGGCAGCAGCAATCTTCACGAAATGCTGAACGGCGAAAACACTGTGCGATACGAGATTACAATTTCTCGTCGAGTCGGAAGGAGTACAGGAGTTGCTCATTTCGTAACAGTTCGGCTGGTTGGGGCCGACACACACATGTATTCACTAAGCTTCATACACGCAATGATTCGTGGACGTACGTGTTGTGCACTCGTGCATTTTTCGGTGATGTTAGCTCTCATATGCTGTCTGTCGATCTGCCTGACTGTCTGCCTGCCTGGGTCTGTCTCTGACCATGTCTCTCCTTATTTTCTCTCCTGCTCTCGTCACCTTTCTCTCTCTCTCTCTCTCTCTCTCTCTCTCTCTCGCTCTCGCGCGCGCGTTCTCTCTTCCTCTCTGTCTCTCTCGTTCTAGCTTTCACTCGTTCGCCTTTCCTCCGCCACGCATACGCTTTCCGTTCTCGTCCAGAACGGCTGTAGCTAAGTATACAACAGATCAATAACACGAAGTAAAAAAAACGGCAGCGTTAGCAGAAGACATCTCGCATACGCGTTTAATTTTACAATAATCTAATGCCTAAAGATTGACATTACATGTATAGTCCTAAAGTAATAATCATTGGGGTGAATGAAATCTTTTCATTATTAATTTGGTTAGTTTCGTTAGTTTAGAAAAGGAAACATAACTTGGGGTACAGACTCGAGTGTGATACCGGAGTGAAACTAAAAGCAGGTTGAGCGCATCCCTTGTTAATTTACTTCAAAACGTATAAAGGGTTACACTGTTCGGCGGGGAAGCGTCGATAGAATATATCCTGTGCACATCCTTCTGTCCGAGTAAGCGTGTACAGTTTGCGTTCCGTTATCGACAGCGTGTAACGGTGAAAAATGCACTTCGCGCCATTGTTATTGATTGAAACATTTCTGCGCTTACTCGAGTAATTAGCAATAGGCAGTATATATATCGGCACAGTGTGGAATGTGATTAGAATATTTATGTCATCAGTCGCAAGCGACCATTTCCATTTCCAAGTAAAAACAATCGTAGGTGCGATCAATACAAATTGGTTTATGTAAATTTTGACTGTATGGTTTCGTTTAAATTTTGATTATAGGCCTACAGTTTAGAAGTTGACCATAAAGTTTCGCTAACGTTACCTTTGCCATGAGAACGCTTCTATCCAGCGGTAACGGATATATTACCGAGGGTGATACGGCTGACGCATAAATGCGCAATGGGATCTGGCGAGACACAGGGCAGTACCACTCTAGGCTTGCTTATGGCGGCTTGCCATAAGTACAGTGTTAGACTCGCACGAGAGATACGTATACTTGGCTGACGTATGCGGTCAAACACGAGCCGTCATCGTCTGAATTTATCAGGGGTCCTGTGGGAAGAATTGCGATCGGGCAGGGTGACTATTGCAGTCCCTCGCTCTGTAACAATAGCCGGATCGATGTGAAAACAAGGGAAACTGGGTCGCTCTTCTCTTTTTGTGACGCATGCTTTCACCATCTCTTTCCTCATCAATGTTGAAGGGTTGCGCGCCATAGGCTAATCGTTACGGCGAAATGAGAGCACAGGCCTACGGCACGCATTCGCTTCATACTACTCATATAAATTTCCTTGCTCTAAACGAATCTACCATCTTCACCGACACTAGTGACTCCGACTCGAGCCGATTGAATGATGACCGCAAAACATTGAATGACCAGCAAACAACCATCTGACTCGGCTCTCCTTTGTTTCAGCTGAAGGCACAACATTCCACGGGCGAGGCTGGCTTCCACGTCGACGGCGAGGACACAAAGCGCCTGGTCGAGGTGAATGAATATATATTAGAAAGATTAATTACGATATTTAAGCACACTAAACCGATGATGCGTCGCATTACTGTACTGGTGGTGCGTGCGTACCTGCAGTAAAGAGGCGGCAGCTATTCGCAGAGAAACCGATAATCATGTCTCGGTTATGCATACGAATTTGAACACGCACGAATACGCCCATACATCTATCTCTACACAGCGCAGTCGCGCCCGCGTACGCATACAATATATACACCCATACACCAAAACACGCACTACACACGAACGTATGTGCTTTCACACACTGCACACGCGCGCATGCGCGTTGCTCAGCGTGCCAGCAACATTATTGAAGTTCTACATAAACGTTACAAGCTAACAACTCGGTCGAATCTATCGCTCGTCTCTGTTCATTGCCGACGCGCAGCAAATTGGACAAATGAAGGCATCGGGGAAAACGCGCCCACGCTGGAGTTAGCATACATACACAGCACTACTACTGATTGCTTGCGGACTTACAAAGCAGACATAACTCAATTTCCTATGCAGTCTACTTTAACATTTGCATTAAATATTTCATTACGACCGGTGCGATTTCACTGTCCATTAAACAACTCCATTAGTCCGGTATAGCACGAATCGCGCCTGCCGTAACTCAATTAGCAATATTTTTTAGTGAAAGATCAGCGTCATAGATGTTTATTCAAGCGTCTAAGCTCTTCTCGGATGTCATTAATTCGCTAGGAATTACGTCTGTGCAATCATCCGCCTTTTATCGATTGTATATCACGGATGATTAATTGACGTTACATAATTAATAATTAAGCATCATTTGCATTTGCGGCTACAGACAGATGAGAAGGCTCAGGGCACCAGCAACCTCGTCTGGGCGACCTCCAACTTCATTAATTCCATTATTGGATCAGGCATCATCGGCATGCCATATGCTCTGAAGCAAGCTGGCATCGGTCTGGGAATAGTGCTCATGGTCGTCGTTGCCGTAGTAACAGGTATCATGCAGCAGCGTGGCGAAGCAGTGCTGCGCAAACACCAGCGCCTCCGCTACCCGCGTCTCTCTGCTCGTGTTTAAATAAACGCAGCTCAGACATTTTGTCACGTTATGCACGCGCGACCGACGTCGAGCTTAGTTCTGTGGATGGCGTTCAAGTGATGGTGGGGTGTGTGGGCGGAGGAGGAGGAGGAGGAGGGTGGCGGGGTATTCACGGAAAACCACGCATCGACGTGTTCGCGTCATCGGCGGTCTATACCCGAGAGTGCATTAGCGAGAGATGTTAATATGTGAGGCGGATTTTCACAGATCTCTTTGAGCGGCCGACGTTGCGCACGTAGAATTTACGCACGAGTTGGTTCATGCTGTGCTTTAATGCTAACTGGCTATTGATCACTGTTGCGCAGCCTGTAAAATGGCAGCACATCAGAGCGACCCGATATGCTCTTTAAGCGCGTGGACAGTAGAGATCTCTCCAGCCAGGTGCAGTGCTCTCCCTCCCGGTCAACAGGTCAGGCTTTCCGCACACGCTTACTATTCAAATAGCGGCCTTGTAAATAAAGATTTTGATGAAATTCCAGCTTAAATCATAAAATGGAAACTCGATATCAAATTGAAAGTGCAATAAACGAGTTCTCGCCCCGCGTTCGTCGACGTGGAACGGTCCGATATATATATA